ACAGAGACAAGGCCGAGTAGGAAAAGGCTCAGCGAGCGGTGACGAGGCTCGCGGAGGAAAGGAAATGGCTCGGTGAGCGATGACGAGGCTCACGGAGGAAAGAGATCATGGTGATCAAGGAACGTACTGCCCATAGGAAACAAATTAGGCCATCGTGGCCAAGGGACTTATTGCCCATACAGATAAAAGAGAGGAAATTTAATGGAAACAAGAGAATTTACAGCAACATGAAAAAACGCCAACGACTCTCAATTTGATAGAGGATCTTAAGGATTAGCCATTAGGCTCTGATACCATGCCAAAATATAGAGAATATTGAGAGTATAAGTGGAAAGTGTAGAGAGAATGAGAGTTGTAGAATATTTTCTGATTTTTCACTTATATTTTCATTACTTACAATCAACATATATATACAAGTTCCTAAGACATTAGTCAAGCCCCCAAAGTTAGGCAACCAACCAAGTTAGGCAACCAAACTAATTAGGCAACCAAACTAGTCAAGCCCCCCAAATATTGTAGGTGCCAAACATTAATTGACTACATAATTAACACATTAATTGACTACATAATTAACAATTATTACCAAACAGACCCGATTTTGTTCTCTTTTGTTCCATTTTTTCTTTTGTTAATACAAGTCAAATGGGCTTTTTGTTACGTCATACACTTGTTTTCAAATTGTTCTTCTTTAGCTTGTTGGGTGAAAACTTACCTCAATTTTGCTACATGGTTATATTCGGTTTCCTCTTTTTTGGTTGATTATACTTGTGTTATGGTTACCACAGTTGTATCATAATTTTTTGTTTCTTATACTTTACCTTCTGGGTGGTAGATGCATTTGGCACAACCACTACAAATCTTACCATATCACAAATAATGTGAAACTTATATAGTAACACAATCCTCACGTTCTAGTTTTTCGATCTAACTGTAAACTATTGTTGAAGAATATAAGTCCTACATTGGAAACTTTACTAAATAAAATGCAATATATAATGAATGGTTCTAATACTAATATGACCGACGCCTTCTGTGATAAAACCCCACAACTACTAGGCTTTATAGGTGGTTAAGTTGGGGACAATATCAGTGTTGTTAGTAGTGGGTCATTGGCCCATCTCTTTGAGTTTAACAACTATTACGTGTTATTACTAATTCATCCATGTTATACTAAATGTGTTCAACCATAAATCACGGTGTTATAATCACACACAAAATTTCTCCTTTTATACTCATATTAACAATTGAACCTCATCAACCGCAGTAATCCTAACTCCTCATATACCAACTGTATTGCAAGGTTATATATGATATTTTGTTCTTATTCTTTTTGGGTTTTATGTGGGCCAAAATTCCTGGTATTTTGTATGACATTTGTTCAAGTTAGTTCATAACATCTAAAATTGGCATCTCTAGTAGGGCCAGAGTCAAAGTTGCTAATACTTGAAGCTTTATCTGGAATTGAAGAAATTCACTGGGCATGAAAATATGGGACAAAGTGTAGACCTTATTTTGCTACAACAAGGAAAACTTGGAGTACCAGCAAAGAAGAGAGAGATGCAAGATCGATAAGACAACGGTAATCATTTTCCACCACATCAGTTTAAGATAAGAATCCCCCAAAATCTCGATATATATATAATGCTCGCAATCCAATTATGAGAAAGTTCATGATGCTCTTACCTTTGCAATTCTCCAAATCCACGTTGAAAAGGCAATACACACCAGTTGATGCTATATGAATTTTCTCCTTTTTTGGTTGGTAAAAATTAAATTAAACAGCCTTTTAAACAATAACATATTCTTTTTTAAAATTCAAAAGGGAACATGAGAAATCCCCACAAAAGAAATTATGGTAATTGTGTTTATAGGTCAATTTTCCTTTTTATTTTTATTATGTACATTGTAGATAATCGAACTCTTAACCTATCATAATCCTAACTCATTACCCCACTTTGCCTCAATATAGGCCTGTGAAGCCCAAACTTAGACCACTTAACTTCGCTGGCTAAACGACTTTCCCCATGCCAAGAGCATTTACCATTAAATTTGAAGCTCAAGCAAGTCCTAATAACCCGATCAAAGCCAATTCTAAGAACTGCTTACACAATTGAGGCAACTAAAGCATTAG